ATAGATGTTGCGCTGAACGGGCACTACGCGCCATAGCACTATACTCGCTTATCAAATTGGTAGCCAGACAGCATAGGAACGGTGACCGCAAGGATAGTATTGCAGCGGTAGTCTAGTGGTCACGAAGTATGCTTAACCATATAACGTTATGCGGGCCCCACCGCTACAACAACGTTTGCTATTTTTTTTCTATTCCGATTTTTAGTTTGTTTTTTTTCTTTAGGGCTAGGGTTAGGGACAGGACATTTGAATGGCTTATTATAAAAGTTCTTGAGTTTGTTATACCCGAGTTTATATACCTTGATTAAATTAACTTGAGTCTCAAATAAAGCCTCAACAACACAATTGAAAATATTTTAAAAATCTCGTTTTATCGAGATTTTGAAAGAGTCCGGAAAAAATTCCAAAGAGTCCGGAAAAATTCCAAAAAAGTACGAAAGTCCGACCAAAAACTCGCCGGAATTTTGAAAGTCCAAAAATTCCGTACACTTTTTTTGGAGTGATTTGCCCCTCGGATTTTGGTTTGAGTCTTTGAGATATATTTTTTTAACAAAAATTATGTCGCCTGCATAGGCACTTTAAAAGATGAGATCTATATGTAAATCATCTGTGTCTCTACAGGTTAAAATAGATCATTTATTGCATAAATCCCATTAAAATATGAACCATTGAATAAATCTAAATATGTTAATATTGATTATCTAAATACGTTTTTACAATTATCACCAATTCACCCATCAAATTATTTCATAATGACCCAATCATTTCACAATCAATTCAGCAACGCCAGAAGATTTAATTAAATTATGCTGGAGAACATAATTTAATTTCATGTTCTGTTAACAATGTTTTAGCATCCCCAATGTAGAATTTCCCATTCTTAAATTCATTTGATAGAGTTCCATTCGAGGTGAGTAGGCTTCGCATAGTATCTTCTACATCAAACACCGTAATGAGTACAGGTGTCCACTCGCTCGGACAAGTTTGCCAAAACGACGCTTTTGCAGTCATGAAGGCTTTATTGACTGTACATTGGATAAATAAACCTCCCTTTCAAGCGACAGAATAAAGTCAACACCCTTCATATTTGGAGTGGCATAACATATATTCTTTTCTGGTTCAAACGTAGACGTAAACTGTTTTTGATTGAGAACCACTCCTGCTTGGGATAACGTGGTTAAGTTTACTTCTTTCCTGTCCTTCGTCATGCCCAATAACGTCAAACGCGCCGATGCTATATTTTGACAAATAGAGGACAAGTGTGCTCCATTAATGGACAATTATTTTCATTGAGAAAAGTAGTGCGAGGTATCTGCTAGTATTTAAGGGCTGAAACTACTGTCGTCAAATAAAGTTTACCTACCACTAGTAAAGTTCGAAAATATGAGTGTTTCAAAAATGTATCCGCGAACATTGCTTTCACCTTTGAGGTTGACTTGCTTGAGTAGTTCAACCTAAAAACAAAAACATTTTGACCGGTGAACGAAGAGTGCCTCCACTCTCGGAAAACCGCCAGCTGGGTTCTTTTCCCAACAATTTACTTGGTGGCTTCAATAGCTAGACGCTTTTTTCATTGCAATAGATACACGCCATTACTATAATTCACGGCACTTACCGTTTCGTCCCGAAGGGAAACATCAGTGGAAAGATGCTGGTTGACAACATGCGTTGCAAGAGGAGACACTGATGTTAACACTTCATCCGAAGTTTCCTTCAGACAGGTCCAAGACACATTCATTTTGTCCACGAGGGTGGGCAATTCTGCGGGATGAAGCCCTCTCGAAACACATAACGCTAGTGCACAGATATGAGCATATCGTGATCCGGGACTAAGAGATTGAACATCTTCGTTAAGAACATAATGTAAATTTTTGATTGTGCTGCGTGTGACTCTTGCAATAATAGCTTCTATATCTTCTCCTTTTCTTTTTTGTACTCTACATTCTTGTATTAATGACTCAACCAAACGGGGAACAAACCCAACGTACTCCAAAAACTCTCTTATCTTAGGCTGTAAAAGATAAATACAACAGATAAGGGCGAAAGATTCCGGATTCGTCACGAAACCGAAACGTTTTAGTACCGGATTCATGTTGCCGTTCACACACGCAGCGATGAATCCGATAAAAAATCATCTCGGTTTTGTGCCGTATCCGGAAACTTGGTGAAGTCTGTTTATTGGCCCGAATTAAGCTATAGCAATGAGTTAATTCATGCGAACGTATGCAAATTTCAGCAGTTTTATTAATTCTCGCACGACAGTTTAAACGTTTTTTATCCCCCAGGGAATTGGGTAGAGCTTCAATGTGTAAGTAATCTCATCATAGCGAACCGCTTGAAGAAAACAAAACCAGAGGGGAAACAGTTCCGTAACTTCGGCCTGATCGCGGTTGTACAGCGGTAGCGACATGAGAGTTGGGGACCAAATGACGTCAAAATGACGCAAAAGACGCCATCTTTTTGACTACACAGTGCCTAAGACTGCTCTCCAGTTAATTATGTACAGCTCAAACCCTTTGAAATTGAACCAGGGCAAAGACAAAAGGCCTGGCACGAGTAATAAACAGATCTCGAGACGGAATTATTGGACGTACCTCGTTTGCGGGGTCGGAGATCATTTCGTTGTAGGACTAAAAGAGTTCAAACGGAATATTAGTTAAAAGCAGCATTGCTGATACACCTAGAATCAACTGCATCAGCAATCAAGCATCACTGACATTTGTTCCACAACATACCCGTCTCAGTAACGACCATGCAACCTCCTCAGTCGGATTCACCACTTGTGTATTGAGGTCAGAGTAGTTTATACGGAACTTTTTCAGCAAACCCACAAGTCCATATCTGGACACTGCACAGACAAGACGCCCCCGATTACGGTACTGTTGAGAAAAAAATTAAAAATACACAAAAAATTTTCTAACACAAAGGTTTTCACGTTTTCATCACCGAAACATGATTTGGTTAATTGTTAGGGTTGCTCATATAGGTCCGGAATTATGTGAACAGTACAATCTTGGTATAGCGTGTTACTCAAATATATTTAGGAAACGAACATACAACTGATTCTTAAAGGGAACAACATTTAGCAGCTGCATGTATAAAATATGTATCGTTAAACTCAATGATTTACAAGTATTTAAGAAACGATGATGCCTGAGCTGGATTGATGTTACAATTATCAACATTCACTGATCTTACTTATGGGGGAGCGATTATAAGGTTGCAATGAGCTGACGGCATTTCCGGACTCAAGTTGCTGTTGATGTTGGATAGGCTTACATTTCTGCAAGTCAAAGGAGGAGAGCTTGAAACTAATTTTTGCTTAATTTTTGGCTTTTTTTCAAACAGTTCAAGAAAGAGCGCAAAAATGGGCAAGAAACAGCGAATTTTGACTATAGATGTTGCGCTGAACGGGCACTACACGCCATAGCACTATACTCGCTTATCAAATTGGTAGCCAGACAGCATAGGAACGGTGACCGCAAGGATAGGAACAGTGTTAGACAACACGAGACGTTTTATGTCACGTGTGTCTAAGTTCGGGTCGTAAATACGAATTTTAGCCAATCAGAATACACAAAATATTTCCGGCCGCACCGCCCCTTTTGGAGACTGGGGCGACGTTTAGCGGCGTGAATGTTAGGGCTAAAACTTGGAATAATTTGCCAAATGAGCTAAAAGATCTCACGTTCACTGATAAAGAGTTTAGAAACAAATTGCAAGACTTTATAAATGAAAATAATTCATTTCTTAATAATTTTTCAAGTTGCCAGTAATGGTCCAAATTTATTACCATATTAAGCCAAATTTATTTGGGAATTTTATATGCATGGACATACAGGAAATTCTTGAAAAGCAGCAAACAAATGTTTAAAATTCTCCAGAATTACCTGTGTCCAGCCCTTGACGTACATACGGATCAGGTCGTTTAAGCATGTGTAGTTCACCATTTCGTGTATGTTGTCAACAAACAACCAAACTGGATATTCTTTCTCTTCATTACCCGATAATGGCGATATAGTCTTATATTAACAGAAAGAAAACAAACGTTAATAATGGGTAGATGGTAGAATTTCCATATCATTGGGTAATCAACAAATAACAATTTTCTATCAGTTTCAGGACGAACCTTCAATTTTTCAGACAAGCGCACCACATCGTGATCACTTGAAAGGTCCTAAACAGAAAGGAAACGGTTTACGCATAAATTTTATTCGCTGGATAAATTGCGTTGTACGAAGCATGAATAGCTCTATCCAACGGATAAAAAAGCACTATCCATTGGATAAATTAATACGTTGGTCGCTATCCAATTGATAAAATTTAGGTTTAGGTCGCTTGTACCCTTTAAAAATGTTGCTTCTGCTGCTTTTCTTGAACAAAACAAAAGAGTCTGGCGGGGAATCAACAAGAGCTTGTTCGAAAAAGCACGGGAAAAGATTTTTGTCGGGATAACGTGAAGACAACACAGATGGTCAATCCTCTGATTCTGAATATTACTTACAAAATAATGTTTCGGTCTTTTGCATGATTCATGTAACATGATTAGCGTGGTTGTCTTTCCCACTCCTTTGGCTCCTTCAAAAAAGTTACAAACACATTAGATCACTCAGTCACTAATGAGCGTGCAATCCACTAGAGAGTCTGCAGTCGGATAGGATTGCAAAATTGCCACTTACCCAACAAACAATCGGTAGAGAGGCCGTTTCTATCCAGGAAGCTATTGCTTCATATACGAGTGTTTATAAACTGAAAAAGATAAAATGCAGCCATTAATCTGCTTGCCGTCTGTGATCAGTAGCCAACGGAGCCAGCATATTTTAATTTGTCGATCACATCGTGAAATAACGGCCGGCGACCGGCGGTTCCCTAGCCAAAACGCGCAAACTTCTAGCGCAAACTTTTACCCGACGTCCTAAAAAATCTCAATGAATCGGGTAAAGTTTTATGCGATGAGCAGATGAGCACATGTGCATAACTGCGATGAGCAGATGAGCACATGCTCATAACTGCTCATGAGCACATGCTCATTTGCTCATAAAACTGCATCACTGTTCGATAACAAGCCATTCCCACACCTCCAGTGGTAAGGGAATGAGCTGTCAATTTTGCGGAAGATACTTTAGCCGCGGTTACAATCAGCGCAGACACGAACAGGAACACTGTCCACTACGAGAACAAGAAAGAAACATGTCTGAAACAGACTCGGACAGTCAAGAAAGAGATTTCCAAGATCAAGTCTCGACCACTTCCACTCAGCAGTCTGGAAGTTCGACGGTGTCTGACTCAGAATCCGAAGAAGAAATGGATCCCTGGATACCGTTAATAGAAGAAGCAAAACAAAGAAGCAACACAGCTTTTGAGGAAATGGAAGAAAGTTTTATAAGCAGTGGTTTCGATGAGCATACCGCTAAAGAGAAAGCTTACTTGAATGCTATGCGTAAACTCCAGAAAGAATTAGAAAATACATAGAGCGCCTTTTGTGGATGAGACAAATAAAGAAAGATCCCGTACATAAGAAAATAATGCACACAAAAGATGCGTTTATTCAAAATGATGATTTTGACCCAGAAGAAGCAATAGAAGCTGCAGTTGATAAGAGAAAGTTCCTCATTAAAAGGCTTTTAAACGACCACGAGTGAAGATGTGAAAGAAAATAAGGGCAGTGATGATGATGACGATGATGATGATGAAGATTAGAATTTAAACTTAGCCAAATTGTTTACTAAACCTTCCTTAAGGAAACCATGGCAAACGAGCAAAAAGCGATAACGATTTAGAAGCAATTATTTTTTATTGCTGCATGTAACTAATTGCCAGACAATTGCAAGACAAATAAATGTTAAAATCATCTTGCATGTCTGAAATTTCCTTACTCCCCATGCTACGACTAACACATTACCTACAGACGTGGATTTGTTAGCAAAACTCATTTTTTTCGTAATCAAACAATAGGTTAAACTGTTTAATTTATAGTCTATCCATCACGTGGTATGGTAATTCTCCATATTCTGCACACAATGTTCACGTGAAATGTTAACGCGTACATCAGATCAGCGTCGTATACATATACATTGTCTATTTATCTGTATACGCATACAACGCGCATACCGTATACAATGTTCACGTGAAATGTTAACGCATACATTGTTTAATTATTCAAATCCTGTATATAATGCTCACATGATATGTTAATGTATTCCTTATGCATGTGATGTTGTACAATATCAACAGCCAGTTAATAAAATGTTCAGTTGTACATAACCCTTGGCGATGGATCTCGTCGTTAAAACTGTACTCCTAACGTTATCGAAGACTCAGAATAACTTTGAAATGGATCTAAAGATACTGTTGACAAAATGTTTCCCATCTCAAAGTTGGATTCTGTACAAAACGTGAATATAATTTTGGTAGGAAGGGTAAAGTGTTCCATGTGAACGTCAAAGAACCAATCGGGTACAACGTGTACATTGGCGAAACGTCATGGCCGATGAGTTATGATAATAATTGGTGGATAAAAGTCACCGACGGCATGCTGAGACGTGATCAGATGTTTCTACTAAACTCGTTCTTATTTCCCTCAAACATTAATTTTTACTTATTGATTATTGCACATCTCATCAAAATACAACGAACCGTAAGCTTAAGTGACTTTAGAGCAATAGTTAATCGTATCCTAAATCACTATCTACTAGCGGAGTAAACAAATTAAAAAAGGACTATAATGAGTTATTTGCTATTTTTACAGCCTACGCAGCACTAAAACTTTTTTCAAATATAGTATGTCGTGTATACATGGAGTCAAATCTACAGGAACATCGTGTTTGAACCTACTTTTTGTCCATGATTGTAGTCTTTTTTCTGAATTTTGTCCTACTACAAATTTTGTTTACCGTTTTTCTTAGTCGGATTATAACATACAAGTCACACACTAATTAAAGGGTATTGGCAACATATTTTTTCTTGCCGTATATTGATGGAGGCAAGAGATATGTCACAGTACCGCCTGGAATCATTAGTGCATCCGGCCTCGCAAAAACCTAGATTTTATCATGATAAGGGCATGAGGTAATACTTCGACATTATCTCAGTTTTACCGTTGACCACGCTCAAAGAGAGCGGCGGGATACAGTGATGGGAAAGCAAACGACCGCCATGATGCAGTTGATAATCAAGTCAATCTGAAAAAAAAAACCTAAAAATAAATTAAATGGAAAATACATTGTGGCAATGGCATGTAAAACTTTTCTTTTGCTCGACTTTCGAAAAGCTAAAAAACACTCGCTTACGGCTCGTGTTTTTATTACGCTTTTCGAAAGTCTCGCAACATCCCGCGTGTTTCACTACGGACTGGAGTATGTTTCTTTTTATACAATATATGGCGTCTGTTGAGCAGCAAATATTTTGATTTTGAATATTAACAAAATCAAAATCGGAGCACATGAAATTCAATATGGCCGAGATCGGGAGTTGGCATCATTTCATAAATTTACATAGTAAGCTTAATTGCTGCCGCAGCGAGCGAGCCTGGAGCGAGCGAGCAAGGCAGCAGACCTAATTGATGTAAGTTGGGAATTTTTTAAATTTTGCTTTAGCGCATTGCATTGTGGTCGATTATTAGATAGACCCACAATGCTATGCGTGAATCAACTTTATTGCTGCGGAGCGAGCGAGCCTAAAGCGAGCGAGGGTTCTGAACTAAATTTTATTTAGCGCAAGGAATTGTGGTTGTGCGCGTTTTTTATGCGCAGAACACAAACTCGCTCATATCCATGTACTTTTTGATTTCGACGGACAGGATCTTCAAATTTTTGTCAAATTTTAAAGCTTCTGATCTATTTTAACTATTCAAGGTAAGATATTTTGTCTTTCGTTCATATGTTACGTTTACAGTTGATTACAAATTTAACTTCTATATATTTATGAAACGCTAAAAGCATATACAATCGATTGCAGCTAAATTCATACTGTTTATATACGATACACTATATACAATATATACTATCCAATGTGCTAACGGCTAATTCGCTTTGCTTGAGCAGTTGAGCCGTCAGTGCTCTGAAGCAAATCAAGTCTTACATACAGAAGTCTTTTTATCCATTGGCATTTGTATTCTTTTGCTTATTTCCATATTTTGCATCAAATTGATCGTCTAAATTGCCTGACTGAATTATTCAGATTCGTGCAATGTTTGACCTATTTTATTTTAAAGCATAGGTATATGTTTTTATTCCTATTTTACAATGAGCTAAATGCCTAAATATTTTTGTTATTTAGTGCTTTTACCGGATCTTCACGTGGTTTCTGATTACACGTCTTCTCGAGCGCGTTCAAAGTTCAAAGTATCAAATGATGTTTTGTCACTCTTCACATGAAGCCAAACATTTACGTGGACTCATACAACAAGACAAATAACATATTTCAAAAATAAATATCCATCTTACCAAAAAATGTTCTATTTTGTTAAACATGCGCTACTGCTTAGGGCCTGTATTTCCGCTAGGCGGAATTTTGCCCGAACAATATTTTCCGCGCGGAAACTGGAAAGTACAATGCTGTCAACTTTGTTGCAGTGGAAAATGTAGCTACGCGCGCAAAATTCTGCGTAATATTACTGTTATTCTTAATACTCCTGTTGTGATTCGTATATTAAAATATTTTGAAAACTCGCTGCTTCTAAAGACTTTGACTTGAACGAGCCGCAACTCGTATCTCTATCCAACATCGTAGAAATTGGTATTTATGACATTGAACGAGCCGCAACTCCTATCTCTATCCAACATCGTAGAAATTGGTATTTATGACATTGAAAAATGGCTATTTTCAGACGATTCGTTTTTGCCGACTGCAATCTACAAATCCTTTGGGCAGCAAATACTTTGTTGAACATATATCTTTTTTCTTAACAAATTTACTCGCGAGATCATAATATAAACCAGCAGCCTATTTCAAAACAATTTCGAGATAAAAGTTAGAACTTGAACAGTTGAACTACACAACGATGTTTTTCATACGAACTAGGTTACCTGCAAGGTAGGGATTGCTGCGAGCATTTTAGGGTCCAAGTAAATTGTTATATGAAATATTAGTAAACTAAATCCGCTTTAACTAATAGCAATAGCAGGTTTAAAACACGTAAAGTGAACCTCTATTGAGCGTTAACTCGCTGGGGCTGTACATGAATTTATACCTGTTAGGGAGAACACTGGCAATGACGTCATTATAGGTCAATATATGCTATGTAATGTAGTATAATTATATTGTTCCTTCCCATGTGCTTCCTTTTCGGCTTTTCCATTGGGCATTCTGGTGAAGAGTTAAAAAATTTTGTGATTGCCAGTTTCTTAGCTTTTTTACCCTCATTTCATCGCTGATTATTACATTCGCAGATCATTAATCGAGACTGCAGGTAAGCAAACATGATCATGTGCCGTTGATCGCAAATATATCTCTGAATAACAACGACAACGTGCTCATGCCTTTCGCAGAGCTAGCAGAGGCTAGGCGATATAAAGAACAATTACTTGATGATGCAATTTTTGTTTTAACAGAGTTTTTGATATCATTCTGTCCCACTCTCTTCAAGTTGGTGTTAAGCACGGTAAAATTTCTTCTTCTTCTTCTTCTTCTTCACGGTAAGTTGCTGTCAGTAAAAGATAATGTTTTGTAAAATTTTATAGATATATAGATATTTTACCACTTCTGATTTCACTCGCTGTATTTGCTGCGCTTTTGGTGGTTTGGCCTTAACAAAGAACGTTCAAACAACAAAGCGTTGTATATTTGAAAGACAGTTAGCTTATATTTATTGACATTTATGCGCATTGCCATTCATAATTATTCGCTATTAAATTTACATATTTGTGCGTGTTCTTTGCCCCGGAACTTTGAATTTTATAACACCTGTTGGCTTCTTTACATGCAAAGCGTTAAATATTTGAAAGACAGGGCACTCAGTCAACTTAAATTTGTCAATATTTATTCTTATTGGTGAATAATAATTGATATTTTCTATTCAGTCTTTGTGTGTGTGCCGTTCTTTGCCCCTCGGATACATACAGTATATACCATTGACATTTGATACAGCATTAATACAGCTTCGATTTGACTTGCCGAATTTAGGATAACACGTGTTGACTTTTTATGCATAGCGTTAAATATTTGAAAAACAGAGCACTCAATCAACTTATATTTATTAATGTTCATTATTCTTGATGAATGATATTTTCTATTTAATTTATATATTTGCGTGTGTGTTGATCTTTGCCCCTTGGACTTGAACTATTGGACTTTGAACCACTATATAGCATTGACATTGATTCACCTCCTATTTCACTTGCCAAATTTAGACTTTGGACTTTTACATATAGCTTCAAATACACTTCCGTTTTATTTAAAATATTTCAGCATTTTTCATATTCCTGTGTATTGATATATTTGCTGCTGGTTTGTTTTAAACTTATTTGGTGTGTATTTTACATGCCTCGTTTGAAATGTCTTATGACCAAGGACAACATAGTCAATCTTTCCTTTTTACTCCTCTTCATGCGAAATCGCAAAGATTTTTGTGTATCGCATTGTTAGTGTGTATCGCATCATTAGTAAAGGAGCATAATGGAGCATGAGTGATTGACATCATCAGTAAAGGAGCATGAGTGATTGACATCATGGCGGCTGCTGGTCAACAACGGGTCGTCTTTATATTTTTTGGTTATTTAATTTTGTCCCTGCTCAATACTCAATCAAATCGTAAGGGAAATGCTTCTAAACAGTTTCCTCAGCGAGATATTGATGGATTGCTCTACGATGGTTATCCTGCTTGGAGTTATCTACAATTTATTCAGGCACAAGTTGGTTTCAAGCGTAAGTCGCTGCCACCTAAATGTGGAGTGTCGCTTCCCATTTATAAAAGTACCAAGCATGGCAAAGTCTGTTTATCTCTACCAGCCAGTTTGTTTGTTATGGATCTAACGATATATGTTGATATATCCCGTAACCCTGGACCTTCTCATGAGTCTATTCATCGGCAAAGTTTGCCTTCTTTTCCAAATACACCTCGGTCATGCTACGATGCCCACACTGCTCAACAGAATGTAAATTATTCTATGGAAATGCTGAGTTCAGGTTCAGGTTTTAAACCTTTTAATGTTGCTCTGAATGTACCTAACATATGTGTGAATATACCAGTTCGTGTTACTAATATAACAAGCGCTCGCAACTATCGTCATGTAAGACCTAGAAATCTGATCAAAATTAACATTTCTAGGTCTTGTTTTGAAGACAAGACTCGGACACAGACTCGGAATACCAATAAACTTCACCTGTCTGTTCTTAATGCCAGGTCAATCAACAATAAGTCCTTATTGATTAAGGATTATGTTGTTGAGAGGCAGGTTGACATTTTGGCTATCACTGAAACATGGTTAAAAGCGGGTGAAACCAGCGATTATATCACGCGTGATATTTGCCCAAAAGGTTACAAATTTATTCATTGCCCAAGGGAGTATGCTCGTGGGGCGGTACTGGTTTACTTTTCAAACAAAACCTCAAGATTAAGAAGTTGAAATCACGATCTTTCCAGTCGTTTGAATTGATGGAATTATTGTTAAATGCAAACTCGTCTACTTTCAGAATTGTTGTTACTTACCGTCCTCCTATATCATCTATAAACAAACTGACATATTCTGCATTTCTTGAAGAATTTACAACGTTACTGGAGCATATTTCTCTAGCTTCTGGAAAACTTATAATGGTAGGAGATTTTAATTGTCATGTAGACGAAGGAAAGTCGTCCAATGCTCTCAAGTTTTTGGAGCTTCTGCAGATTTTTAATCTTGAGCAACATGTGAATGTCCCCACACACAATAGTGGTCATACACTTGATCTTATTATTACCAGGAAAGGTGAAACTGTCATTAACAATCTTAAAGTATTTGATGCTGTTATTTCTGATCATTTTGCGCTGCACTGTAATGTAGAGCTGGCTAAACCTCGTAACATGAAGTCGGATATTTCGTATCGAAAGCTGGGAGACATCGATACAGCTAAGTTTCGTCAAAGCGTTCTTAGTTCGGAGTTATATACAAGACCTGCATCTACTCTTGAGGAACGTTGTGACCAATATGATTTGGTATTATCAGCGTTGCTGGAGAGCCATGCTCCACTTCGTAAAAAGACCATAACGATCCGACCGATGGCCCCATGGTATAATGAAGATATTAGAGATCAGAAAACAGTACGGCGATGCAAGGAACGAAGATGGCGTAAAAGTGGCCTAGAAGTCGATAGACAGGCGTACGTTGACCAGTGTATTCGGGTAAAGAACACAATTAGTGAAGCAAAAATGGAATATTATTCATCACTTGTCCAGGATGCTGGTACTGATAGCAGACGACTTTTTCAGATTGTTGATCGACTCCTTCATAGGAAACCCGAAAAGCTATATCCTGCATCTGGTTCTTCCACAAGGTTAGCAAACCAGTTTGCACATTTCTTTGATGATAAAATTTCCAAGATCAAGCAAGGATTGCAAATTCTATCGTCAAGGAACACCTTGTCTTTTTCGCGGCTGGATAATCCAAAGCTAAGTTGCTATTTGGACAAGTTCACCAACACAACAATTGAGGAGCTATCTGAAATTCTGAAAAAAACTAAACTTAAATCCTGTCTGCTAGATCCCATACCAGCAAAGGTACTCTCTTCCAACATTGATGCGATTTTACCTATTCTTATTGATATTGTTAATTCATCTTTGGAAACTAGCCATGTTCCATCGTCTTTTAAGAAGGCCGCTCTGTACCCTACTCTCAAAAAGTCTGCCACGGATTACGAAGAATATTTCAATTTTCGTCCGATTTCGAACTTAAAGTTTGTCTCGAAAATGATTGAAAAAGTGGTTGCTTTACGTCTACTACATTATCTTCGTAGCAATGGCTTTGAAGAATTATATCAATCTGCCTACAAGCAATTCCATAGTTGTGAAACTGCACTCATTCGTGTACAGAGTGACATTTTACGTGAGATAGATGGAAACTCGGGTGTCATTCTGCTACCATTGGATCTATCGGCTGCGTTCGACACGGTGGATCACGCGATCTTGCTTCAACGAATGTTTACTAAATTTGGTATCAAGGGTGAAGCATTAAACTGGTTTAAGTCATATCTATCTGGTCGTTCCCAGACTGTCTATGTTAATGACGCTACCTCAGACAGTTACGATGTGTTCTGCAAGTGTCCCCAGGGATCAGTTTTAGGTCCTATCCTATATCTGATCTATACTTCACCGATAGGAGACATTTTACGATCTCATGGCATGAAATTTCATTTATATGCTGATGACATTCAAATCTATGTCTCGTTTAATTATAAAGATCAGAATGACCTTGAGCAAGTAAAATCGCGCGTGGAAGCCTGCCTCGTGGATATCATGAACTGGATGTCAGAGAATAAATTAAAGCTTAACACTGATAAGACGGAACTACTTATTTTGAGTTCCAAATTTCGGGCTGAGCCTACATTCCCTGCGTTGACTGTGGGCCCCGATATCATTATCCCAACAACCCACGCTCGTAACATTGGTGTTACATTTGATAAATTTCTTACAATGTCTATACATATTAATGAGATATGTAAGTCAGCATTTTATCACCTACGGAACATCTCTCGTGCTAGAAGATACCTGTCTTTCCATACTACCGAACAGCTTATTCACGCTTTTGTGACTATTAAACTAGATAATGGGAATGCACTGCTGTATGGTCTGCCCAAAGATCAGATTGGAAAGTTACAACGCGTTCTAAATTCAGCAGCACGACTGTTAACCGGATCTTACAAGTATAATCGCATTACACCTATTTTAATACAACTGCACTGGCTGCCAGTTGAGCAACGGATTATTTATAAGATAATTTTATTGACATTTAAAGCGTTAAATGGACTTGCTCCGCAATACATTGCAGAGATGATCAGCCATTACGAACCTTCTAGATGCCTTAGATCCTCTAAAGCTAATTTACTTAATGAACCAAGATTTAATGTTAACAGCTATGGCGGTAGAGCCTTTCATGCAAGTAGTCCTAGGTTATGGAATAAACTACCTGCCTCTATCAGAGCATGCACAGATTTTTCTGAATTTAAGAGTGAACTCAAGACTCACATGTTTAAAATAGCTTATGATTTATAGATGTATATAAATAATTTTAGTTTGTCATATTTTTATTGTAAATTTTTAGACTGACGATTGTAAAGCGCTTAGATCTATGTGTTATAAGCGCTATATAAACTTGTAATAATAATAATAATAATAAATGCAATCATTCACCACCAAAAGCGCAGTAAATACAGCGAGTGAAATCGGAAGTGGTAAAATATCTATATATCTATAAAATGTTACAAAAAATTATCTTTTACTGACAGCAACTTACTGTGCTTAACACCAACTTGAGGAGAGTAGAACAGAATGATATCAAAAATTCTGTTAAAACAAAAATTGCATCATCAAGTAATTGTTCTTTATATCGCCTAGCTTCTGCTGGCTCTGCGAAAGGCATGAGCACGTTGTTATTCAGAGATATATTTGCGTTTAATGGCACATGATCCTGTTTGCTTACCTGCAGTCTCGATTAATGATCTGCGAAACAAAGGATTTTGCTAATTTGCATTAGGTTCGGCACATGGAAAGTTCTTCGTCTGTAACAGGCCTAATTGATGTTGTACATTTACAACTCCTAGCGAAACGTTAGACAATCTCAAAAAATTAGCCAAGTTTTCAATCACATGTGAAGAGTTCACAACTACGTTATCTTTTTTAAATAACTAGATTTCAGTAACACAACAACCCACTATTATGATCACGTGCATTCAAAATAAAACAGCTGGCGAACTTGCACATGCTTCATCTTTGTTCATTTAATCTATTCAGCAAAAACTTAGGCCCAAACAAAAAGAACAATTTACATAAAATTCCTCATAAACGGTAGAAATCAATTGAGACTCACGCTTATAGTTTTATCCGGATAAATTGTTTCTCATATGGAATTTATAATTAGAGTTGTTTTTGCAATCCTTTGGATTTCTTGTCCTAAATCATATATTTTAAATTTATTTGCCAGATCCTTGCACTTGCCTGGGCATTGTTTTTAAAATACCATTTTATTATTAAACCTTGTATTCATCTGTATCTATGCCATCATGCCCATCACAAGCTGAATAGTTGTTTATTTTATAAATTAAGACTGAAAAGAGGTGTTATAAACTGCTATTCTATGAGTGTATGAGACTGTTTTAAATGAGTCAATCAGTAGAAGAATGCCTGGTTTATATGTCAATTGTGGGAAAATAAATTTTTGCCTACTTTCCATCTACGCAAAAGCTACACACAATACAAAATTACAAATTATGACTATTTCGCTTGGGGAGCAACGGATTCTGATAGTTTAGGCCACTATTTGTTGAATTTTAGTTTCTCATCGGATGATTTCTTCATATATGATGAGGGTGGGCGGCCATTACCATTATTACCCAACAAGGCAACAACAACATGGCTTGAAAAAATGGCGAAATAGCGTGAAATACGATAGATAATTGTGATTTTAGAAACAGGTCTTTTTAACATTTGTTTGTCACTTGACAAAATTGCATAATGGCTACTTAAAATCCATGCGGGCGGTTAATTTGAGCTCTGGCAGTTTAAATGCCCACACGCAAAACCACACTTCAAAGGCAAAACAATTCAAAATAAGTTACATATAGAGCATTCACGTACCGTTAATATATCTTTTCTTGATCTACTGCCAATGAAACCAACCCGACAAAAACTCTGGAAGCCAAGCCTATCTTCAGCCGTTGAAGACTTGAAGTGAAGCATGATGCGGCCGCGATCATGATGTACGTAATTCCCAGTCTTATTGCTCGGTCAGTTTGTGCCCGTGCTCTATAGGCATAAGAAAAATATTTTTTTCTGTTTGGTTTCATTGGCAGTAGATCAAGAAAAGATATAATGGTACGTGAATGCTCTATATGTAACTTATTTTGAATTGCCTTTGAAGTGAGGTTTTGCGTGTGGGCATTTAAACTGCCAGAACTCAAATTATATATATAAACTATATAAGAGAAATTTGTAAATACCGTTGCCGTTGGCAGAGTTGACTGCTCAATGGATATCCAGAGCATATTATTGAAAATTAAGCAATAAGCCAGTATTAGTTTTCACAAGAAAACTTATACTGGCTTATTGCTTAATTTTCTTAGCTTTTCTCCCTTAAATTATAAAGCTGGTTTGGTTCGAACGCTTATAGATAGAGCACGAAAAATTAACAGCTCAATTAGCGAAAAGAAACTCTTTTCCTTCTCACTTCATTGATAATATTATCAAAATTGCTGAAGAAAAACATCCTTCCACTGCCCCGAATGTTTCTGGCCGAGAACCACAAAAAGACACTGAAAATGTCCGATATTTTCAACTGCCATATATAGGCCACTACTCCAAGATCACACAAAAACGGTTAACAACTATTATCAATCATTATTGCTTGCCTTTCGAAATAAAATTGGTTTTCTCACTATATAAAATTAAAAATCTTTTTAGCTTTATAAATTTACTTGTGCGGTTTGTAGTAGCCGTTTGTTACATTGGCGAAACAATGCGCCATTTATCCACCACAGAGAACACACTTCCACTGACAAAAACTCCCACATCTACAAACACTTCCTTTCATCACCTAACTGCAAATCACACTATACAGACTCTCAATTTACTATTCTTGACACTGTCAACTTTTCCTCTACACTTAAAATAAAAGAAGCCCTACATATAAATCAACTCAAACCTGAACTCAATAAGCAAGTTCAACACTTTAACACTATCTTTAGCTTGTAAATATATTGTCGTGTAGTTTCGTGACCTCACTTAGTCTGTTGTCCATGTCTAGTTTACAACAGAAGATGCTGATTCAATTTTTTCCACAGATTCAGAACTTCAGACTTTTGAAAACGAATTTTGAAAACGTTCCTAATCTGTGCCTGGTATGACTTCGAAAGGTCGAGAGCCAGTATTTTTCTTCTTTGACATCGAAGCCGCGAACAGTTCAGTTGGTGCTGACATAATTCAATTTGGGTTACGTGCGATCCAAGTGTCCATTTGATGGCAGAGTTTAGTGCATTTGTGAAAACAAAGCAGAAATTATCATCATTCAGTAATTTAATCTTTTTTAATGTTGAAAAAATTATCTTTATGTTGAAATCTTTGCACAATTCTTTGCATACGCTTCATCTTTCTTTGCCCTTTCCAGCCATCAAACACCAGATCCTTTTCCTCTTGTTTTCAAGAGGATGATGAAATGGGTGACCAATAGGACTTTGGCAGCAAGCAGGAAAAGTAGAAAAAAGGGAAAACAACAGAAAATGTTTTACCCAGGTAAGTTTGAAGCGTTTTCGCCATGTAAAGGCTTGTTTGCACTGCAATTTTTTCTTAGAAAATGTGCATCATTAGGATTTAAATGAAAATTGCACAATCGGTGACATTGAAACATAGATCGCTCACAGAAAAACTGTTGTTGCAATTACTCTGAGCTAAAAGGCCAAGTTGGGAAGTTCTGGCTGTGTAGGTCGATGACTACTTCCCCATGCATCAGATCTTTTCCTGCTAATCCCTGCTTCTCCCCTCTTATATTGAACCTGCATGTGGAAAAAATTGAATCAGCATAGATCTTCTGTTGTTTTTTAAAAGTTCAAACATTGTATTCGTTTGTGTCGGGCTCAGCTCTTTGTAAGAATCTACGTTCGGGTGGCATACCCGCAAATTAAAGCTCAGACAGTATATATTAATAATGTTCTAGTCGACTTGCACTTTTAAACATATTTAAAAATACCACGTAACTGGAGGGTATTCATCATGCAGTAAGTGACCATATTTGAAAGTGTCTTAGTCAAAGGCCATATAATTAGTTTATTAAATATGTTTAAAAGTGCAAGTCGACTAGAACATTATTAATATATACTGTCTGAGCTTTAATTTGCACGTAAATTCTTTGCACAAATCAATCCACTGATGTAAAGTAACAAGCGATTCTTGCAGGTACTTCGATGTGGCACTCCGATACACCATTCGGTGTACCATTCGGTGTAGATATCTAACTAGAGTTGTCATGATGTATAAAAATAAATTTGTTTAAAAAATAATACCTAAATAACAGTTTATTTCGTTCCTCAGTTTTGCTTGCTCATGGTGGCAATCGGTCGGACTTTCCGATGTTGGTGGACAACATCTCTCGCCACAAAGCCTCATCCGGCTATTTGTACCCGAGACTTCGTGTGGGGGACACATACCAACTTTGTGTAAAGGTGAGTTCTGCATCTGATTCCGAAATTTGTGTTCTCGAATATTGGACAATGCTTTTTTATACATTTCAGCTTCAAGAAAACGGTTTGCCAATATTTGACAAACAAACGAAATTAGGAATGGAAGGTTTGCACAAATTATTCTTCCCTGGTGAAGACTTTAAAGGTACGTGTTTTCTTATAGGATCGCGATCTTTTGTTTCGTGCCGACGTAAACAAATTTATGTTTTGTGCCAACATAACCAGGAAATTTATGTGGCTTGTACGAACCAGTGAATGCTTCATTCATTTTTATCACAGATCGTCACAGTGCTTTGGGAGATGCCAGGTTGATGAGGCAAATTTTCGGGGGGCCGCTTCGCAACCACCTGGAAGAAATCGAAACAAAGACGTTGTCTTCCTTGTAAGTATTTTTGGACTTCATCCAGACTCTTTAGTAATGCACATTTAATACTGCATCGTGGTTTCCTCTTGCGCACGCTACTATCTTCTCATCGTCCAATAATTTGCCCTTTAGACATTTGTGTGAACCAGACTTTTCAGACAGTTATCTGAGTTACTATTAGAATATCCTCGATGATATTTTTTACCCCAGTATGGCCTTGACTAAGCATAACAATCGTTGACTAAGCGATTATTTTGTCTTTTTTAGTGTGGGTTTGCAAAAAAAGAAAAAGAAAAAAAAAGAAAGAAACCAAACCATTGGCGAAGGTTGGCATTGAATTCGAGCATTAACTCAGTATTCGCTAGTGAAGTGTGAAGTTCCTCTCTTTATATTTTTACATGATCTGACCCGTTTAATAGTTTCTTTGGTTATTCTTCTTTTGTAGTGCAATTTGACGTAACCGCCTATTTGGAAAGTTGATTGATGAAAGTAAGTTGTTTAATTTTCTGCTTCGTGCTCCGTACTCCGTGCTTGTGTTTTACCAATAGCCTAGGTATATTGTTTATCCGAGTTTATGGGTCTAAGTAAGCAATAACCTATCATCCCTTGCACGCTCAGAGTTTACGGTTTACGCTTTTGGAAAGACAACCTTTCAGTGGATGGGTGAATATCACTATTGATTTGGGCACAGAGATTTAAAAAATTACAACCGATTCTTCCATGCACCGAAAGCTACTGTCTGAGCTTTAATCTGCACTTAAAGCAACAGTTTGGACCTATCACAAAGTTTGGACCTATTAGAAAATCAAAGCGGAGAAGTATGTTTAAGAAAACAATGAAAGCGTGGTTAGATTTTAAACATTTCAACTGATTCTTCATCAGAAAGACACTGTCCGAGCTTTAATCTGTGCAAACAAGTACATTCTGTGCACAAAATCAATAGTCATAATCAAGGCAGAAATTTGGACCAATTACGAAATCATTTGATATTTTTAAATATGTTTAAAGAATCGACTCCATGTGGTACACCGAATGGTGTATCGGAGTGCCACATCGAAGTACCTGCAAGAATCGCTTGTTACTTTACATCAGTGGATTGATTTGTGCAAAGAATTTACCTGCAAATTAAAGCTCAGACAGTATATATTAATAATGTTCTAGTCGACTTGCACTTTTAAACATATTTAATAAACTAATTATATGGCCTTTGACTAAGACACTTTCAAATATGGTCACTTACTGCATGATGAATACCCTCCAGTTACGTGGTATTTTTAAATATGTTTAAAAGTGCAAGTCGACTAGAACATTATTAATATACTGTCTGAGCTTTAATTTGCGGGTATGCCACCCGAACGCAGATTCTTACAAAGAGCTGAGCCCGACACAAACGAATACAATGTTTGAACTTTTAAAAAACAACAGAAGATCTATGCTGATTCAATTTTTTCCACATGCAGGTTCAATATAAGAGGGGAGAAGCAGGGATTAGCAGGAAAAGATCTGATGCATGGGGAAGTAGTCATCAAGACTGACCCCATTCTAACGAAGAAACAATTGAAAGAAGGAAAAAACAAAACAAGCAGGCAAGTCTTCAGGACAGCATGCCGGCCAGCAAGCCTTAGCTGGGTAGCCCAAGCAATAAAAACGCATCAATTACTGCATCATGGCAGAGTCGGTCGCATGCAACGTAAGTTTTCAAAATTTTTGCTTTCCCATCACTGTATCCCGCCGCTCTCTTTGAGCGCGGTCAAGGGTAAAACTGAGATAATGTCGAAGTATTACCTCATGCCGTTATCATGATAAAATCTAGGTTTTTGCGAGGCCGGATGCACTAATGATTCCAGGCGGTACTGTAACATATCTCTTGCCTCTATCAATATACGGCAAGAAAAAATATGTTGCCAATACCCTTTAATTAGTGTGTGACTTGTATGTTATAATCCGACTAAGAAAACGGTAGACAAAATTTGTAGTAGGACAAAATTCGGAAAAAAGACTACAATCATGGACAAAAAGTAGGTTCAAACGTGATGTTCCTGTAGATTTGACTCCATGTATACACGACATACTATATTTGAAAAAAGTTTTAGTGCTGCGTAGGCTGTAAAAATAGCAAATAACTCATTATAGTCCTTTTTTAGTTTGTTTACTCCGCTAGTAGATAGTGATTTAGGATACGATTAACTATTGCTCTAAAGTCACTTAAGCTTACGGTTCGTTGTATTTTGATGAGATGTGCAATAATCAATAAGTAAAAATTAATGTTTGAGGGAAATAAGAACGAGTTTAGTAGAAACATCTGATCACGTCTCAGCATGCCGTCGGTGACTTTTATCCACCAATTATTATCATAACTCATCGGCCATGACGTTTCGCCAATGTACACGTTGTACCCGATTGGTTCTTTGACGTTCACATGGAACACTTTACCCTTCCTACCGAAATTATATTCACGTTTTGTACAGAATCCAACTTTGAGATGGGAAACATTTTGTCAACAGTATCTTTAGATCCATTTCAAAGTTATTCTGAGTCTTCGATAACGTTAGGAGTACAGTTTTAACGACGAGATCTTTTAGAGTCTGCACACGCTCCATCGAGTGGCTGTTGATATTGTACAACATCACATGCATAAGGAATACATTAACATATCATGTGAGCATTATATACAGGATTTGAATAATTAAACAATGTATGCGTTAACATTTCACGTGAACATTGTATACGGTATGCGCGTTGTATGCGTATACAGATAAATAGACAATGTATATGTATACGACGCTGATCTGATGTACGCGTTAACATTTCACGTGAACATTGTGTGCAGAATATGGAGAATTACCATACCACGTGATGGATAGACTATAAATTAAACAGTTTAACCTATTGTTTGATTACGAAAAAAATGAGTTTTGCTAACAAATCCACGTCTGTAGGTAATGTGTTAGTCGTAGCATGGGGAGTAAGGAAATTTCAGACATGCAAGATGATTTTAACATTTATTTGTCTTGCAATTGTCTGGCAATTAGTTACATGCAGCAATAAAAAATAATTGCTTCTAAATCGTTATCGCTTTTTGCTCGTTTGCCATGGTTTCCTTAAGGAAGGTTTAGTAAACAATTTGGCTAAGTTTAAATTCTAATCTTCATCATCATCGTCATCATCATCACTGCCCTTATTTTCTTTCACATCTTCACTCGTGGTCGTTTAAAAGCCTTTTAATGAGGAACTTTCTCTTATCAACTGCAGCTTCTATTGCTTCTTCTGGGTCAAAATCATCATTTTGAAAAACGCATCTTTTGTGTGCATTATTTTCTTATGTACGGGATCTTTCTTTATTTGTCTCATCCACAAAAGGCGCTCTATGTAGATATTTTCTAATTCTTTCTGGAGTTTACGCATAGCATTCAAGTAAGCTTTCCCTTTAGCGGTATGCTCATCGAAACCACTGCTTATAAAACTTTCTTCCATTTCCTCAAAAGCTGTGTTGCTTCTTTGTTTTGCTTCTTCTATTAACGGTATCCAGGGATCCATTTCTTCTTCGGATTCTGAGTCAGACACCGTCGAACTTCCAGACTGCTGAGTGGAAGTGGTCGAGACTTGATCTTGGAAATCTCTTTCTTGACTGTCCGAGTCTGTTTCAGACATGTTTCTTTCTTGTTCTCGTAGTGGACAGTGTTCCTGTTCGTGTCTGCGCTGATTGTAACCGCGGCTAAAGTATCTTCCGCAAAATTGACAGCTCATTCCCTTACCACTGGAGGTGTGGGAATGGCTTGTTATCGAACAGTGATGCAGTTTTATGAGCAAATGAGCATGTGCTCATGAGCAGTTATGAGCATGTGCTCATCTGCTCATCGCAGTTATGCACATGTGCTCATCTGCTCATCGCATAAAACTTTACCCGATTCATTGAGATTTTTTAGGACGTCGGGTAAAAGTTTGCGCTAGAAGTTTGCGCGTTTTGGCTAGGGAACCGCCGGTCGCCGGCCGTTATTTCACGATGTGATCGACAAATTAAAATATGCTGGCTCCGTTGGCTACTGATCACAGACGGCAAGCAGATTAATGGCTGCATTTTATCTTTTTCAGTTTATAAACACTCCCGTATATGAAGCAATAGCTTCCTGGATAGAAACGGCCTCTCTACCGATTGTTTTGTTGGGTAAGTGGCAATTTTGCAATCCTATCCGACTGCAGACTCTCTAGTGGATTGCACGCTCATTAGTGACTGAGTGATCTAATGTGTTTGTAACTTTTTTGAAGGAGCCAAAGGAGTGGGAAAGACAACCACGCTAATCATGTTACATGAATCATGCAAAAGACCGAAACATTATTTTGTAAGTAATATTCAGAATCAGAGGATTGACCATCTGTGTTGTCTTCACGTTATCCCAACAAAAATCTTTTGCTGTGCTTTTTCGAACAAGCTCTTGTTGATTCCCCGCCAGGCTCTTTTGTTTTGTTCAAGAAAAGCAGCAGAAGCAACATTTTTAAAGGGTACAAGCGACCTAAACCTAAATTTTATCAATTGGATAGCGACCAACGTATTAATTTATCCAATGGATAGTGCTTTTTTATCCGTTGGATAGAGCTATTCATGCTTCGTACAACGCAATTTATCCAGCGAATAAAATTTATGCGTAAACCGTTTCCTTTCTGTTTAGGACCTTTCAAGTGATCACGACGTGGTGCGCTTGTCTGAAAAATTGAAGGTTCGTCCTGAAACTATAGAAAATTGTTATTTGTTGATTACCCAATGATATGGAAATTCTACCATCTACCCATTATTAACGTTTGTTTTCTTTCTGTTAATATAAGACTATATCGCCATTATCGGGTAATGAAGAGAAAGAATATCCAGTTTGGTTGTTTGTTGACAACATACACGAAATGGTGAACTACACATGCTTAAACGACCTGATCCGTATGTACGTCAAGGGCTGGACACAGGTAATTCTGGAGAATTTTAAACATTTGTTTGCTGCTTTTCAAGAATTTCCTGTATGTCCATGCATATAAAATTCCCAAATAAATTCGGCTTAATATGGTAATAAATTTGGACCATTACTGGCAACTTGAAAAATTATTAAGAAATGAATTATTTTCATTTATAAAGTCTTGCAATTTGTTTCTAAACTCTTTATCAGTGAACGTGAGATCTTTTAGCTCATTTGGCAGATTATTCCAAGTTTTAGCCGTAACATTCACGCCGCTAAACGTCGCCCCAGTCTCCAAAAGGGGCCGCGCGGCCAGAAATATTTTGTGTATTCTGATTGGCTAAAATTCGTATTTACGACCCGAACTTAGACACACGTGACATAAAACGTCTCGTGTTGTCTAACACTGTTCCTATCCTTGCGGTCACCGTTCCTATGCTGTCTGGCTACCAATTTGATAAGCGAGTATAGTGCTATGGCGCGTAGTGCCCGTTCAGCGCAACATCTATAGTCAAAATTCGCCGTTTCTTGCCCATTTTTGCGCTCTTTCTTGAACTGTTTGAAAAAAAGCCAAAAATTAAGCAAAAATTAGTTTCAAGCTCTCCTCCTTTGACTTGCAGAAATGTAAGCCTAGCCAACATCAACAGCAACTTGAGTCCGGAAATGCCGTCAGCTCATCGCAACCTTATAATCGCTCCCCCATAAGTAAGATCAGTGAATGTTGATAATTGTAACATCAATCCAGCTCAGGAATCATCGTTTCTTAAATACTTGTAAATCATTGAGTTTAACGATACATATTTTATACATGCAGCTGCTAAATGTTGTTCCCTTTAAGAATCAGTTGTATGTTCGTTTCCTAAATATATTTGAGTAACACCCTATACCAAGATTGTACTGTTCACATAATTCCGGACCTATATGAGCAACCCTAACAATTAACCAAATCATGTTTCGGTGATGAAAACGTGAAAACCTTTTGTGTTAGAAAATTTTTTGTGTATTTTTAATTTTTTTCTCAACAGTACCGTAATCGGGGGCGTCTTGTCTGTGCAGTGTCCAGATATGGACTTGTGGGTTTGCTGAAAAAGTTCCGTATAAACTACTCCGACCTCAATACACAAGTGGTGAATCCGACTGAGGAGGTTGCATGGTCGTTACTGAGACGGGTATGTTGTGGAACAAATGTCTAGTGATGCTGATTGCTGATGCAGTTGATTCTAGGTGTATCAGCAATGCTGCTTTTAACTAATATTCCGTTTGAACTCTTTTAGTCCAACAACGAAATGATCTCCGACACCGCAAACCGGCCAGGTACGTCCAATAATTCCGTCTCGAGATCTGTTTATTACTCGTGCCAGGCCTTTTGTCTTTGCCCTGGTTCAATTTCAAAGGGTTTGAGCTGTACATAATTAACTGGAGAGCAGTCTTAGGCACTGTGCAGTCAAAAAGATGGCGTCTTTGGCGTCTTTTGCGAGCATTGTTCTGATAACAGTAATTATTAATCTTTTTCAGTTTGTTTCTACTGAACTTATGCAGATGGAAACCTCGAGCCCAGAAAAAGAAGATAAGGTTTGCTACCCCTAATCTAAACTTTATGCCAGATACCGTATTTACTCGTTTAATTGCGATCAATTCTACGCATCGTTGTTAAATCGGTCTTTGGAATTTTCGTAATGCGCAGGTCAGTCGTGAAGGCAGAGATTCCAGTGATTTGTGCGAGGAGGTTGTCAAAATGGTAACATTTGGCTACATCTAACTTTCAATTATTTTTGTTTAAAGTTCTTGTTACAATTGACAAATAAGAATTTTTAAACAGCGCCGCCCCCGATTACACCCGGGGCCGTAACTTAGAACGATAGTTGTGGGGGGGGGTTTATTCATATATTCAGTTCTGCCTGACGGATTTCATTGTGAGCTATTGCACTTACAAAAGAGCATCCGTCGGGCAGAACTGAATATATGAATAAACACCCCCCAATTATCGTTCTAGTTGCGGCCCTGATTACACCGCTCTATAAGGAAACGCACACTGTACCGGTTACTGGAACCTGAACGGGTCTCACCGGTTACTGGAACTCAACGCATGGGGAGTTAGACTAATCCTATCAAAAGATTGTCCCACCGGTGAGGAGAGATCACGCAGATCTATGTGACAAGTTTGGGACATTCCCGCGTGTTTGGATCAGGCCATCCAAACACGGAAACCATTAAAGTAATTGTTAATTAATTAACACCATGAACTAACAAGCACTCGTCGTGATTTTTCAAAATAAAATTGAAATCAAGAGAAATCTGTGTTTTAATACCTATGGAAATATCAAATACCCCCATTCTCTTGAAATTTTGACGCAATGAATCCTCTGATTCAGAACTTCCGGCGCCGGGTCGCTGCGCATTTCTCAGAAGCAGAGAAAGCATAAGGTATCCCTGAATTCGTTGAAGATCTCTTCCGTGATTATCGACTGCAACAGAAACTCTGGAAGCCAAGCCTATCTTCAGCCGTTGAAGACTTGAAGTGAAGCATGATGCGGCCCGCGATCATGATGTACGTAATTCCCAGTCTTATTGCTCGGTCAGTTTGTGCCCGTGCTCGATATAGGCCACAGAATAAGGTTATTCTGTGATATAGGCATAAGAAAATATTTTTTTCTGTTTGGTTTCATTGGCAGTAGATCAAGAAAAGATATAACGGTACGTGAATGCTCTATATGTAACTTATTTTGAATTGCCTTTGAAGTGAGGTTTTGTGTGTGGGCATTTAAACTGCCGGAACTCAAATTATATATATAAACTATATAAGAGAAATTTGTAAATACCGTTGCCGTTGGCAGAGTTGACTGCTAAATGGATATCCAGAGCATATTATTGAAAATTAAGCAATAAGCCAGTATTAGTTTTCACAAGAAAACTTATACTGGCTTATTGCTTAATTTTCTTAGCTTTTCTCCCTTAAATTATAAAGCTGGTTTGGTTCGAACGCTTATAGATAGAGCACGAAAAATTAACAGCTCAATTAGCGAAAAGAAACTCTTTTCTTTCTCACTTCATTGATAATATTATCAAAATTGCTGAAGAAAAACATCCTTCCACTGCCCCGAATGTTTCTGGCCGAGAACCACAAAGAGACACTGAAAATGTCCGATATTTTCAACTGCCATATATAGGCCACTACTCCAAGATCACACAAAACGGTTAACAACTATTATCAATCATTATTGCTTGCCTTTCGAAATAAAATTGGTTTTCTTCAATATAAAATTAAAAATCTTTTTAGCTTTATAAATTTACTTGTGCGGTTTGTAGTAGCCGTTTGTTACATTGGCGAAACAATGCGCCATTTATCTACCACAGAGAACACACTTCCACTGACAAAAACTCCCACATCTACAAACACTTCCTTTCATCACCTAACTGCAAATCACACTATACAGACTCTCGTTTTACTATTCTTGACACTGCCAACTTTTCCTCTACACTTAAAATAAAAGAAGCCCTACATATAAATCAACTCAAACCTGAACTCAATAAGCAAGTTTAACACTATCTTTAGCTTGTAAATATATTGTCGTGTAGTTTCGTGACCTCACTTAGTCTGTTGTCCATGTCTAGTTTACAACAGAAGATGCTGATTCAATTTTTTCCACAGATTCAGAACTTCAGACTTTTGAAAACGAATTTTGAAAACGTTCCTAATCTGTGCCTGGTATGACTTCGAAAGGTCGAGAGCCAGTATTTTTCTTCTTCGACATCGAAGCCGCGAACAGTTCAGTTGGTGCTGACATAATTCAATTTGGGTTACGTGCGATCCAAGTGTCCATTTGATGGCAGAGTTTAGTGCATTTGTGAAAACAAAGCAGAAATTATCATCATTCAGTAATTTAATCTTTTTTAATGTTGAAAAAATTATCTTTATGTGAAATCTTTGCACAATTCTTTGCATACGCTTCATCTTTCTTTGCCCTTTCCAGCCATCAAACACCAGATCCTTTTCCTCTTGTTTTCAAGAGGATGATGAAATGGGTGACCAATAGGACTTTGGCAGCAAGCAGGAAAAGTAGAAAAAAGGGAAAACAACAGAAAATGTTTTACCCAGGTAAGTTTGAAGCGTTTTCGCCATGTAAAGGCTTGTTTGCACTGCAATTTTTTCTTAGAAAATGTGCATCATTAGGATTTAAATGAAAATTGCACAATCGGTGACATTGAAACATAGATCGCTCACAGAAAAACTGTTGTTGCAATTACTCTGAGCTAAAGGCCAAGTTGGGAAGTTCTGGCTGTGTAGGTCGATGACTACTTCCCCATGCATCAGATCTTTTCCTGCTAATCCCTGCTTCTCCCCTCTTATATTGAACCTGCATGTGGAAAAAATTGAATCAGCATAGATCTTCTGTTGTTTTTAAAAGTTCAAACATTGTATTCGTTTGTGTCGGGCTCAGCTCTTTGTAAGAATCTGCGTTCGGGTGGCATACCCGCAAATTAAAGCTCAGACAGTATATATTAATAATGTTCTAGTCGACTTGCACTTTTAAACATATTTAAAAATACCACGTAACTGGAGGGTATTCATCATGCAGTAAGTGACCATATTTGAAAGTGTCTTAGTCAAAGGCCATATAATTAGTTTATTAAATATGTTTAAAAGTGCAAGTCGACTAGAACATTATTAATATATACTGTCTGAGCTTTAATTTGCAGGTAAATTCTTTGCACAAATCAATCCACTGATGTAAAGTAACAAGCGATTCTTGCAGGTACTTCGATGTGGCACTCCGATACACCATTCGGTGTACCATTCGGTGTAGATATCTAACTAGAGTTGTCATGATGTATAAAAATAAATTTGTTTAAAAAATAATACCTAAATAACAGTTTATTTCGTTCCTCAGTTTTGCTTGCTCATGGTGGCAATCGGTCGGACTTTCCGATGTTGGTGGACAACATCTCTCGCCACAAAGCCTCATCCGGCTATTTGTACCCGAGACTTCGTGTGGGGGACACATACCAACTTTGTGTAAAGGTGAGTTCTGCATCTGATTCCGAAATTTGTGTTCTCGAATATTGGACAATGCTTTTTTATACATTTCAGCTTCAAGAAAACGGTTTGCCAATATTTGACAAACAAACGAAATTAGGAATGGAAGGTTTGCACAAATTATTCTTCCCTGGTGAAGACTTTAAAGGTACGTGTTTTCTTATAGGATCGCGATCTTTTGTTTTGTGCCGACGTAAACAAATTTATGTTTTGTGCCAACATAACCAGGAAATTTATGTGGCTTGTACGAACCAGTGAATGCTTCATTCATTTTTATCACAGATCGTCACAGTGCTTTGGGAGATGCCAGGTGATGAGGCAAATTTTCGGGGGGCCGCTTCGCAACCACCTGGAAGAAATCGAAACAAAGACGTTGTCTTCCTTGTAAGTATTTTTGGACTTCATCCAGACTCTTTAGTAATGCACATTTAATACTGCATCGTGGTTTCCTCTTGCGCACGCTACTATCTTCTCATCGTCCAATAATTTGCCCTTTAGACATTTGTGTGAACCAGACTTTTCAGACAGTTATCTGAGTTACTATTAGAATATCCTCGATGATATTTTTTACCCCAGTATGGCCTTGACTAAGCATAACAATCGTTGACTAAGCGATATTTTGTCTTTTTAGTGTGGGTTTGCAAAAAAGAAAAAGAAAAAAAAAGAAAGAAACCAAACCATTGGCGAAGGTTGGCATTGAATTCGAGCATTAACTCAGTATTCGCTAGTGAAGTGTGAAGTTCCTCTCTTTATATTTTTACATGATCTGACCCGTTTAATAGTTTCTTTGGTTATTCTTCTTTTGTAGTGCAATTTGACGTAACCGCCTATTTGGAAAGTTGATTGATGAAAGTAAGTTGTTTAATTTTCTGCTTCGTGCTCCGTACTCCGTGCTCGTGTTTTACCAATAGCCTAGGTATATTGTTTATCCGAGTTTATGGGTCTAAGTAAGCAATAACCTATCATCCCTTGCACGCTCAGAGTTTACGGTTTACGCTTTTGGAAAGACAACCTTTCAGTGGATGGGTGAATATCACTATTGATTTGGGCACAGAGATTTAAAAAATTACAACCGATTCTTCCATGCACCGAAAGCTACTGTCTGAGCTTTAATCTGCACTTAAAGCAACAGTTTGGACCTATCACAAAGTTTGGACCTATTAGAAAATCAAAGCGGAGAAGTATGTTTAAGAAAACAATGAAAGCGTGGTTAGATTTTAAACATTTCAACTGATTCTTCATCAGAAAGACACTGTCCGAGCTTTAATCTGTGCAAACAAGTACATTCTGTGCACAAAATCAATAGTCATAATCAAGGCAGAAATTTGGACCAATTACGAAATCATTGATATTTTTAAATATGTTTAAAGAATCGACTCCATGTGGTACACCGAATGGTGTATCGGAGTGCCACATCGAAGTACCTGCAAGAATCGCTTGTTACTTTACATCAGTGGATTGATTTGTGCAAAGAATTTACCTGCAAATTAAAGCTCAGACAGTATATATTAATAATGTTCTAGTCGACTTGCACTTTTAAACATATTTAATAAACTAATTATATGGCCTTTGACTAAGACACTTTCAAATATGGTCACTTACTGCATGATGAATACCCTCCAGTTACGTGGTATTTTTAAATATGTTTAAAAGTGCAAGTCGACTAGAACATTATTAATATATACTGTCTGAGCTTTAATTTGCGGGTATGCCACCCGAACGCAGATTCTTACAAAGAGCTGAGCCCGACACAAACGAATACAATGTTTGAACTTTTAAAAAACAACAGAAGATCTATGCTGATTCAATTTTTTCCACATGCAGGTTCAATATAAGAGGGGAGAAGCAGGGATTAGCAGGAAAAGATCTGATGCATGGGGAAGTAGTCATCAAGACTGACCCCATTCTAACGAAGAAACAATTGAAAGAAGGAAAAAACAAAACAAGCAGGCAAGTCTTCAGGACAGCATGCCGGCCAGCAAGCCTTAGCTGGGTAGCCCAAGCAATAAAAACGCTACCGAAAAACATGAGCCAACGTCTTTCGACGCGGCTAATTAATAAGCGGAACTACTTTGAAAAGTTTTGCTAAATTTTGAAAAAGAAAAAATGCTTTAGAGCTGTAATTTTACAAATCTTCGCTCCAAATCTGAAAGTTTTCCAACTAAATCAGTGGCATTATATGTTTCTCAATTTGAAACGTTTCTGTCCTTACGTGTTTCAAAATGCCGTCCGAAATAGATAAAAAGACTAAACGTCCTCTTGCTTAAGACTTCGTGTCTTCACATGGGGAGGGGTGGCATGAGGAAAGGCAAGCCTTACCATTTGTTTTCCCATATATTTCTCCCTACGTTTGCTCATATAATCTCAATTACACATGCAGGCCCCATGGCCCTTGGTGTAATTGGAATTTTAAAGGCACAGTAGCGCCTGTTGAGCGATGTGTTTTAGTGAAATATAACGCGGGCGAACTTTTGCAAGATGGCGGAAACCATGGAGTTAACTATCGAGACCGAGGATTTCGACTTTGTTTTGGATATAATATGTTAGCAATATAATATGTTAATTAAGCTTACTATGTAAATTTATGAAATGATGCCAACTCCCGATCTCGGCCATATTGAATTTCATGTGCTCCGATTTTGATTTTGTTAATATTCAAAATAAAATATTCGCTGCTCAACACGCCATATATTGTATAAAAGAAACATACTCCAGTCCGTAGTGAAACACGCGGGATGTTGCGAGACTTTCGAAAAGCGTAATAAAAACACGAGACGTAAGCGAGTGTTTTTTAGCTTTTCGAAAGTCGAGCAAAAGAAAAGTTTTACATGCCATTGCCACAATGTATTTTCCATTTAATTTATTTTTAGTTTTTTTTTTCAGATTGACTTGATTATCAATTACTGCATCATGGCAGAGTCGGTCGCATGCAACGTAAGTTTTCAAAATTTTTGCTTTCCCATCACTGTATCCCGCCGCTCTCTTTGAGCGTGGTCAAGGGTAAAACTGAGATAATGTCGAAGTTATACCTCATGCCCTTATCATGATAAAATCTAGGTTTTTGCGAGGCCGGATGCACTAATGATTCCAGGCGGTACTGTAACATATCTCTTGCCTCTATCAATATACGGCAAGAAAAAATATGTTGCCAATACCCTTTAATTATGTGTGACTTGTATGTTATAATCCGACTAAGAAAAACGGTAGACAAAATTTGTAGTAGGACAAAATTCGGAAAAAAGACTACAATCATGGACAAAAAGTAGGTTCAAACACGATGTTCCTGTAGATTTGACTCCATGTATACACGACATACTATATTTGAAAAAAGTTTTAGTGCTGCGTAGGCTGTAAAAATAGCAAATAACTCATTATAGTCCTTTTTTAGTTTGTTTACTCCGCTAGTAGATACTGATTTAGGATACGATTAACTATTGCTCTAAAGTCACTTAAGCTTACGGTTCGTTGTATTTTGATGAGATGTGCAATAATCAATAAGTAAAAATTAATGTTTGAGGGAAATAAGAACGAGTTTAGTAGAAACATCTGATCACGTCTCAGCATGCCGTCGGTGACTTTTATCCACCAATTATTATCATAACTCATCGGCCATGACGTTTCGCCAATGTACACGTTGTACCCGATTGGTTCTTTGACGTTCACATGGAACACTTTACCCTTCCTACCAAAATTATATTCACGTTTTGTACAGAATCCAACTTTGAGATGGGAAACATTTTGTCAACAGTATCTTTAGATCCATTTCAAAGTTATTCTGAGTCTTCGATAACGTTAGGAGTACAGTTTTAACGACGAGATCCATCGCCAAGGGTTATGTACAACTGAACTTTATTAAGTGGCTGTTGATATTGTACAACATCACATGCATAAGGAATACATTAACATATCATGTGAGCATTATATACAGGATTTGAATAATTAAACAATGTATGCGTTAACATTTCACGTGAACATTGTATACGGTATAAGCGTTGTATGCGTATACAGATAAATAGACAATGTATATGTATACGACGCTGATCTGATGTACGCGTTAACATTTCACGTGAACATTGTGTGCAGAATATGGAGAATTACCATACCAGGTGATAGATAGACTATAAATTAAACAGTTTAACCTATTGTTTGATTACGAAAAAAATGAGTTTTGCTAACAAATCCACGTCTGTAGGTAATGTGTTAGTCGTAGCATGGGGAGTAAGGAAATTTCAGACATGCAAGATGATTTTAACATTTATTTGTCTTGCAATTGTCTGGCAATTAGTTACATGCAGCAATAAAAAATAATTGCTTCTAAATCGTTATCGCTTTTTGCTCGTTTGCCATGGTTTCCTTAAGGAAGGTTTAGTAAACAATTTGGCTAAGTTTAAATTCTAATCTTCATCATCATCATCGTCATCATCATCACTGCCCTTATTTTCTTTCACATCTTCACTCGTGGTCGTTTAAAAGCCTTTTAATGAGGAACTTTCTCTTATCAACTGCAGCTTCTATTGCTTCTTCTGGGTCAAAATCATCATTTTGAATAAACGCATCTTTTGTGTGCATTATTTTCTTATGTACGGGATCTTTCTTTATTTGTCTCATCCACAAAAGGCGCTCTATGTAGATATTTTCTAATTCTTTCTGGAGTTTACGCATAGCATTCAAGTAAGCTTTCTCTTTAGCGGTATGCTCATCGAAACCACTGCTTATAAAACTTTCTTCCATTTCCTCAAAAGCTGTGTTGCTTCTTTGTTTTGCTTCTTCTTAACGGTATCCAGGGATCCATTTCTTCTTCGGATTCTGAGTCAGACACCGTCGAACTTCCAGACTGCTGAGTGGAAGTGGTCGAGACATCATCTTGGAAATCTCTTTCTTGACTGTCCGAGTCTGTTTCAGACATGTTTCTTTCTTGTTCTCGTAGTGGACAGTGTTCCTGTTCGTGTCTGCGCTGATTGTAACCGCGGCTAAAGTATCTTCCGCAAAATTGACAGCTCATTCCCTTACCACTGGAGGTGTGGGAATGGCTTGTTATCGAACAGTGATGCAGTTTTATGAGCAAATGAGCATGTGCTCATGAGCAGTTATGAGCATGTGCTCATCTGCTCATCGCAGTTATGCACATGTGCTCATCTGCTCATCGCATAAAATTTTACCCGATTCATTGAGATTTTTTGGGACGTCGGGTAAAAGTTTGCGCTAGAAGTTTGCGCGTTTTGGCTAGGGAACCGCCGGTCGCCGGCCGTTATTTCAGGATGTGATCGACAAATTAAAATATGCTGGCTCCGTTGGCTACTGATCACAGACGGCAAGCAGATTAATGGCTGCATTTTATCTTTTTCAGTTTATAAACACCCCGTATATGAAGCAATAGCTTCCTGGATAGAAACGGCCTCTCTACCGATTGTTTTGTTGGGTAAGTGGCAATTTTGCAATCGTATCCGACTGCAGACTCTCTAGTGGATTGCACGCTCATTAGTGACTGAGTGATCTAATGTGTTTGTAACTTTTTTGAAGGAGCCAAAGGAGTGGGAAAGACAACCACGCTAATCATGTTACATGAATCATGCAAAAGACCGAAACATTATTTTGTAAGTAATATTCAGAATCAGAGGATTGACCATCTGTGTTGTCTTCACGTTATCCGACAAAAATCTTTCCCGTGCTTTTTCGAACAAGCTCTTGTTGATTCCCCGCCAGACTCTTTTGTTTTGTTCAAGAAAAGCAGCAGAAGCAACATTTTTAAAGGGTACAAGCGACCTAAACCTAAATTTTATCAATTGGATAGCGACCAACGTATTAATTTATCCAATGGATAGTGCTTTTTTATCCGTTGGATAGAGCTATTCATGCTTCGTACAACGCAATTTATCCAGCGAATAAAATTTATGCGTAAACCGTTTCCTTTCTGTTTAGGACCTTTCAAGTGATCACGACGTGGTGCGCTTGTCTGAAAAATTGAAGGTTCGTCCTGAAACTGATAGAAAATTGTTATTTGTTGATTACCAATGATATGGAAATTCTACCATCTACCCATTATTAACGTTTGTTTTCTTTCTGTTAATATAAGACTATATCGCCATTATCGGGTAATGAAGAGAAAGAATATCCAGTTTGGTTGTTTGTTGACAACATACACGAAATGGTGAACTACACATGCTTAAACGACCTGATCCGTATGTACGTCAAGGGCTGGACACAGGTAATTCTGGAGAATTTTAAACATTTGTTTGCTGCTTTTCAAGAATTTCCTGTATGTCCATGCATATAAAATTCCCAAATAAATTCGGCTTAATATGGTAATAAATTTGGACCATTACTGGCAACTTGAAAAATTATTAGGAAATGAATTATTTTCATTTATAAAGTCTTGCAATTTGTTTCTAAACTCTTTATCAGTGAACGCGAGATCTTTTAGCTCATTTGGCAGATTATTCCAAGTTTTAGCCCGTAACATTCATGCCGCTAAACGTCGCCCCAGTCTCCAAAAGGGGCGTGCGGCCGGAAATATTTTGTGTATTCTGATTGGCTAAAATTCGTATTTACGACCCGAACTTAGACACACATGACATAAAACGTCTCGTGTTGTCTAACACTGTTCCTATCCTTGCGGTCACCGTTCCTATGCTGTCTGGCTACCAATTTATAAGCGAGTATAGTGCTATGGCGTGTAGTGCCCGTTCAGCGCAACATCTATAGTCAAAATTCGCTGTTTCTTGCCCATTTTTGCGCTCTTTCTTGAACTGTTTGAAAAAGAGCCAAAAATTAAGCAAAAATTAGTTTCAAGCTCTCCTCCTTTGACTTGCAGAAATGTAAGCCTATCCAACATCAACAGCAACTTGAGTCCGGAAATGCCGTCAGCTCATTGCAACCTTATAATCGCTCCCCATAAGTAAGATCAGTGAATGTTGATAATTGTAACATCAATCCAGCTCAGGCATCATCGTTTCTTAAATACTTGTAAATCATTGAGTTTAACGATACATATTTTATACATGCAGCTGCTAAATGTTGTTCCCTTTAAGAATCAGTTGTATGTTCGTTTCCTAAATATATTTGAGTAACACGCTATACCAAGATTGTACTGTTCACATAATTCCGGACCTATATGAGCAACCCTAACAATTAACCAAATCATGTTTCGGTGATGAAAACGTGAAAACCTTTTGTGTTAGAAAATTTTTTGTGTATTTTTAATTTTTTTCTCAACAGTACCGTAATCGGGGGCGTCTTGTCTGTGCAGTGTCCAGATATGGACTTGTGGGTTTGCTGAAAAAGTTCCGTATAAACTACTCCGACCTCAATACACAAGTGGTGAATCCGACTGAGGAGGTTGCATGGTCGTTACTGAGACGGGTATGTTGTGGAACAAATGTCTAGTGATGCTTGATTGCTGATGCAGTTGATTCTAGGTGTATCAGCAATGCTGCTTTTAACTAATATTCCGTTTGAACTCTTTTAGTCCTACAACGAAATGATCTCCGACCCCGCAAACGAGGTACGTTCAATAATTCCGTCTCGAGATCTGTTTATTACTCGTGCCAGGCCTTTTGTCTTTGCCCTGGTTCAATTTCAAAGGGTTTGAGCTGTACATAATTAACTGGAGAGCAGTCTTAGGCACTGTGTAGTCAAAAAGATGGCGTCTTTTGCGTCATTTTGACGTCATTTGGTCCCCAACTCTCATGTCGCTACCGCTGTACAACCGCGATCAGGCCGAAGTTACGTAACTGTTTCCCCTCTGGTTTTGTTTTCTTCAAGCGGTTCGCTATGATGAGATTACTTACACATTGAAGCTCTACCCAATTCCCTGGGGGATAAAAAAGTTTAAACTGTCGTGCGAGAATTAATAAAACTGCTGAAATTTGCATACGTTCGCATGAATTAACTCATTGCTATAGCTTAATTCGGGCCAATAAAAAAAAATTCACCAAGTTTCCGGATACGGCACAAAACCGAGATGATTTTTATCGGATTCATCGCTGTGTGTGTGAACGGCAACATGAATCCGGTACTAAAACGTTTCGGTTTCGTGACGAATCCGGAATCTTTCGCTCTCATCTGTTGTATTTATCTTTTACAGCCTAAGATAAGAGAGTTTTTGGAGTATGTTGGGTTTGTTCCCCGTTTGGTTGAGTCATTAATACAAGAATGTAGAGTACAAAAAAGAAAAGGAGAAGATATAGAAGCTATTATTGCAAGAGTCACACGCAGCACAATCAAAAATTTACATTATGTTCTTAACGAAGATGTTCAATCTCTTAGTCCCGGATCACGATATGCTCATATCTGTGCACTAGCGTTATGTGTTTCGAGAGGGCTTCGTCCCACAGAATTGCCCACCCTCGTGGACAAAATGAATGTGTCTTGGACCTGTCTGAAGGAAACTTCGGATGAAGTGTTAACATCAGTGTCTCCTCTTGCAACGCATGTTGTCAACCAGCATCTTTCCACTGATGTTTCCCTTCGGGACGAAACGGTAAGTGCCGTGAACTATAGTAATGGCGTGTATCTATTGCAATGAAAAAAGCGTCTAGCTATTGAAGCCACCAAGTAAATTGTTGGGAAAAGAACCCAGCTGGCGGTTTTCCGAGAGTGGAGGCACTCTTCGTTCACCGGTCAAAATGTTTTTGTTTTTAGGTTGAACTACTCAAGCAAGTCAACCTCAAAGGTGAAAGCAATGTTCGCGGATACATTTTTGAAACACTCATATTTTCGAACTTTACTAGTGGTAGGTAAACTTTATTTGACGACAGTAGTTTCAGCCCTTAAATACTAGCAGATACCTCGCACTACTTTTCTCAATGAAAATAATTGTCCATTAATGGAGCACACTTGTCCTCTATTTGTCAAATATAGCATCGGCGCGTTTGACGTTATTGGGCAACGAAGGACAGGAAAGAAGTAAACTTAACCACGTTATCCCAAGCAGGAGTGGTTCTCAATCAAAAACAGTTTACGTCTACGTTTGAACCAGAAAAGAATATATGTTATGCCACTCCAAATATGAAGGGTGTTGACTTTATTTTGTCGCTTGAAAGGGAGGTTTATTTTATCCAATGTACAGTCAATAAAGCCTTCATGACTGCAAAAGCGTCGTTTTGGCAAACTTGTCCGAGCGAGTGGACACCTGTACTCATTACGGTGTTTGATGTAGAAGATACTATGCGAAGCCTACTCACCTCGAATGGAACTCTATCAAATGAATTTAAGAATGGGAAATTCTACATTGGGGATGCTAAAACATTGTTAACAGAACATGAAATTAAATTATGTTCTCCAGCATAATTTAATTAAATCTTCTGGCGTTGCTGAATTGATTGTGAAATGATTGGGTCATTATGAAATAATTTGATGGGCGAATTGGTGATAATTGTAAAAACGTATTTAGATAATCAATATTAACATATTTAGATTTATTCAATGGTTCATATTTTAATGGGATTTATGCAATAAATGATCTATTTTAACCTGTAGAGACACAGATGATTTACATATAGATCTCATCTTTTAAAGTGCCTATGCAGGCGACATAATTTTTGTTAAAAAAATATATCTCAAAGACTCTAACCAAAATCCGAGGGGCAAATCACTCCAAAAAAAGTGTACGGAATTTTTGGACTTTCAAAATTCCGACGAGTTTTTGGTCGGACTTTCGTACTTTTTTGGAATTTTTCCGGACTCTTTGAAAATCTCGATAAAACGAGATTTTTAAAATATTTTCAATTGTGTTGTTGAGGCTTGATTTGAGACTCAAGTTAATTTAATTAAGGTATATAAACTCGGGTATAACAAACTCAAGAACTTTTATAATAAGCCATTCAAATGTCCTGTCCCTAACCCTAGCCCTAAAGAAAAGAAACAAACTAAAAATCGGAATAGAAAAAAAATAGCAAACGTTGTTGTAGCGGTGGGGCCCACATAACGTTATATGGTTAAGCATACTTCATGACCACTAGACTACCGCTGCAATACTATCCTTGCGGTCACCGTTCCTATGCTGTCTGGCTACCAATTTGATAAGCGAGTATAGTGCTATGGCGCGTAGTGCCCGTTCAGCGCCACATCTATAGTCAAAATTCGCCGTTTCTTGCCCATTTTTGCGCTCTTTCTTGAACTGTTTGAAAAAAAGCCAAAAATTAAGCAAAAATTAGTTTCAAGCTTTCCTCCTTTGACTTGCAGAAATGTAAGCCTATCCAACATCAACAGCAACTTGAGTCCGGAAATGCCGTCAGCTCATCGCAACCTTATAATCGCTCCCCCATAAGTAAGATCAGTGAATGTTGATCCAGCTCAGGCATCATCGTTTCTTAAATACTTGTAAATCATTGATTTTAACGATACATATTTTATACATGCAGCTGCTAAATGTTGTTCCCTTTAAGAATCAGTTGTATGTTCGTTTCCTAAATATATTTGAGTAACACGCTATACCAAGATTGTACTGTTCACATAATTCCGGACCTATATGAGCAACCCTAACAATTAACCAAATCATGTTTCGGTGATGAAAACGTGAAAACCTTTTGTGTTAGAAAATTTTTTGTGTATTTTTAATTTTTTTCTCAACAGTACCGTAATCGGGGGCGTCTTGTCTGTGCAGTGTCCAGATATGGACTTGTGGGTTTGGTGAAAAAGTTGCGTATAAACTACTCCGACCTCAATACACAAGTGGTGAATCCGACTGAGGAGGTTGCATGGTCGTTACTGAGACGGGTATGTTGTGGAACAAATGTCTAGTGATGCTGATTGCTGATGCAGTTGATTCTAGGTGTATCAGCAATGCTGCTTTTAACTAATATTCCGTTTGAACTCTTTTAGTCCAACAACGAAAATCTCCGACACCGCAAACCGGCCAGGTACGTCCAATAATTCCGTCTCGAGATCTGTTTATTACTCGTGCCAGGCCTTTTGTCTTTGCCCTGGTTCAATTTCAAAGGGTTTGAGCTGTACATAATTAACTGGAGAGCAGTCTTAGGCACTGTGCAGTCAAAAAGATGGCGTCTTTGGCGTCTTTTGCGAGCATTGTTCTGATAACAGTAATTATTAATCTTTTTCAGTTTGTTTCTACTGAACTTATGCAGATGGAAACCTCGAGCCCAGAAAAAGAAGATAAGGTTTGCTACCCTTAATCTAAACTTTATGCCAGATACCGTATTTACTCGTTTAATTGCGATCAATTCTACGCATCGTTGTTAAATCGGTCTTTGGAATTTTCGTAATGCGCAGGTCAGTCGTGAAGGCAGAGATTCAGTGATTTGTGCGAGGAGGTTGTCAAAATGGTAACATTTGGCTACATCTAACTTTCAATTATTTTTGTTTAAAGTTCTTGTTACAATTGACAAATAAGAATTTTTAAACAGCGCCGCCCCCGATTACACCCGGGGCCGTAACTTAGAACGATAGTTGTGGGGGGGGGTTTATTCATATATTCAGTTCTGCCCAACGGATTTCATTGTGAGCTATTGCACTTACAAAAGAGCATCCGTCGGGCAGAACTGAATATATGAATAAACACCCCCCCAATTATCGTTCTAGTTGCGGCCCTGATTACACCGCTCTATAAGGAAACGCACACTGTACCGGTTACTGGAACCTGAACGGGTCTCACCGGTTACTGGAACTCAACGCATGGGGAGTTAGACTAATCCTATCAAAAGATTGTCCCACCGGTGAGGAGAGATCACGCAGATCTATGTGACAAGTTTGGGACATTCCCGCGTGTTTGGATCAGGCCATCCAAACACGGAAACCATTAAAGTAATTGTTAATTAATTAACACCATGAACTAACAAGCACTCGTCGTGATTTTTCAAAATAAAATTGAAATCAAGAGAAATCTGTGTTTTAATACCTATGGAAATATCAAATACCCCCATTCTCTTGAAATTTTGACGCAATGAATCCTCTGATTCAGAACTTCCGGCGCCGGGTCGCTGCGCATTTCTCAGAAGCAGAGAAAGCATAAGGTAATCCCTGAATTCGTTGAAGATCTCTTCCGTGATTATCGACTGCGACAGAAACTCTGGAAGCCAAGCCTATCTTCAGCCGTTGAAGACTTGAAGTGAAGCATGATGCGGCCGCGATCATGATGTACGTAATTCCCAGTCTTATTGCTCGGTCAGTTTGTGCCCGTGCTCGATATAGGCCACAGAATAAGGTTATTCTGTGATATAGGCATAAGAAAAATATTTTTTCTGTTTGGTTTCATTGGCAGTAGATCAAGAAAAGATATAACGGTACGTGAATGCTCTATATGTAACTTATTTTGAATTGCCTTTGAAGTGAGGTTTTGCGTGTGGGCATTTAAACTGCCAGAACTCAAATTATATATAAACTATATAAGAGAAATTTGTAAATACCGTTGCCGTTGGCAGAGTTGACTGCTCAATGGATATCCAGAGCATATTATTGAAAATTAAGCAATAAGCCAGTATTAGTTTTCACAAGAAAACTTATACTGGCTTATTGCTTAATTTTCTTAGCTTTTCTCCCTTAAATTATAAAGCTGGTTTGGTTCGAACGCTTATAGATAGAGCACGAAAAATTAACAGCTCAATTAGCGAAAAGAAACTCTTTTCCTTCTCACTTCATTGATAATATTATCAAAATTGCTGAAGAAAAACATCCTTCCACTGCCCCGAATGTTTCTGGCCGAGAACCACAAAGAGACACTGAAATGTCCGATATTTTCAACTGCCATATATAGGCCACTACTCCAAGATCACACAAAAACGGTTAACAACTATTATCAATCATTATTGCTTGCCTTTCGAAATAAAATTGGTTTTCTCACAATATAAAATTAAAATCTTTTTAGCTTTATAAATTTACTTGTGCGGTTTGTAGTAGCCGTTTGTTACATTGGCGAAACAATGCGCCATTTATCTACCACAGAGAACACACTTCCACTGACAAAACTCCCACATCTACAAACACTTCCTTTCATCACCTAACTGCAAATCACACTATACAGACTCTCGTTTTACTATTCTTGACACTGCCAACTTTTCCTCTACACTTAAATAAAAGAAGCCCTACATATAAATCAACTCAAACCTGAACTCAATAAGCAAGTTCAACACTTTAACACTATCTTTAGCTTGTAAATATATTGTCGTGTAGTTTCGTGACCTCACTTAGTCTGTTGTCCATGTCTAGTTTACAACAGAAGATGCTGATTCAATTTTTTCCACAGATTCAGAACTTCAGACTTTTGAAAACGAATTTTGAAAACGTTCCTAATCTGTGCCTGGTATGACTTCGAAAGGTCGAGAGCCAGTATTTTTCTTCTTCGACATCGAAGCCGCGAACAGTTCAGTTGGTGCTGACATAATTCAATTTGGGTTACGTGCGATCCAAGTGTCCATTTGATGGCAGAGTTTAGTGCATTTGTGAAAACAAAGCAGAAATTATCATCATTCAGTAATTTAATCTTTTTTAATGTTGAAAAAATTATCTTTATGTCGAAATCTTTGCACAATTCTTTGCATACGCTTCATCTTTCTTTGCCCTTTCCAGCCATCAAACACCAGATCCTTTTCCTCTTGTTTTCAAGAGGATGATGAAATGGGTGACCAATAGGACTTTGGCAGCAAGCAGGAAAAGTAGAAAAAAGGGAAAACAACAGAAAATGTTTTACCCAGGTAAGTTTGAAGCGTTTTCGCCATGTAAAGGCTTGTTTGCACTGCAATTTTTTCTTAGAAAATGTGCATCATTAGGATTTAAATGAAAATTGCACAATCGGTGACATTGAAACATAGATCACTCACAGAAAAACTGTTGTTGCAATTACTCTGAGCTACAAGGCCAAGTTGGGAAGTTCTGGCTGGTAGGTCGATGACTACTTCCCCATGCATCAGATCTTTTCCTGCTAATCCCTGCTTTCCCCTCTTATATTGAACCTGCATGTGGAAAAAATTGAATCAGCATAGATCTTCTGTTGTTTTTTTAAAAGTTCAAACATTGTGTTCGTTTGTGTCGGGCTCAGCTCTTTGTATCTGCGTTCGGGTGGCATACCCGCAAATTAAAGCTCAGACAGTATATATTAATAATGTTCTAGTCGACTTGCACTTTTAAACATATTTAAAAATACCACGTAACTGGAGGGTATTCATCATGCAGTAAGTGACCATATTTGAAAGTGTCTTAGTCAAAGGCCATATAATTAGTTTATTAAATATGTTTAAAAGTGCAAGTCGACTAGAACATTATTATATATACTGTCTGAGCTTTAATTTGCAGGTAAATTCTTTGCACAAATCAATCCACTGATGTAAAGTAACAAGCGATTCTTGCAGGTACTTCGATGTGGCACTCCGATACACCATTCGGTGTACCATTCGGTGTAGATATCTAACTAGAGTTGTCATGATGTATAAAAATAAATTTGTTTAAAAAATAATACCTAAATAACAGTTTATTTCGTTCCTCAGTTTTGCTTGCTCATGGTGGCAATCGGTCGGACTTTCCGATGTTGGTGGACAACATCTCTCGCCACAAAGCCTCATCTGGCTATTTGTACCCGAGACTTCGTGTGGGGGACACATACCAACTTTGTGTAAAGGTGAGTTCTGCATCTGATTCCGAATTTTGTGTTCTCGAATATTGGACAATGCTTTTATACATTTCAGCTTCAAGAAAACGGTTTGCCAATATTTGACAAACAAACGAAATTAGGAATGGAAGGTTTGCACAAATTATTCTTCCCTGGTGAAGACTTTAAAGGTACGTGTTTTCTTATAGGATCGCGATCTTTTGTTTTGTGCCGACGTAAACAAATTTATGTTTTGTGCCAACATAACCAGGAAATTTATGTGGCTTGTACGAACCAGTGAATGCTTCATTCATTTTTATCACGATCGTCACAGTGCTTTGGGAGATGCCAGGTTGATGAGGCAAATTTTCGGGGGGCCGCTTCGCAACCACCTGGAAGAAATCGAAACAAAGACGTTGTCTTGTAAGTATTTTTGGACTTCATCCAGACTCTTTAGTAATGCACATTTAATACTGCATCGTGGTTTCCTCTTGCGCACGCTACTATCTTCTCATCGTCCAATAATTTGCCCTTTAGACTTTGTGTGAACCAGACTTTTCAGACAGTTATCTGAGTTACTATTAGAATATCCTCGATGATTTTTTACCCCAGTATGGCCTTGACTAAGCATAACAATCGTTGACTAAGCGATTATTT